TATAAATTCAGTGTTGAAAAAGTTTCATTTATAAATACAACTAATACACTGTCTGATTTTCCGCCATTTTTTGGAAAAGCAATAGTTACTGCCAGTCAGAGTAGTCTGAGCAGTAACTATTGCCTCTTAGTTCATATTTGTGCGGATATCTATTGTTCTCAATAGGGTTTTATTTGGGTAAGAATCTAAAAGCAAGGGGAGGGATTTGATATCTCCACAGGGAAAAGCGGGGTTGATGAATAGAATTGAATGCCTAATTAAAAATGCAAGGTATCTAACTCCATAGTGACCCCTTTTGGAGGTCACTATGGAGTTAGATACCTTGAATTTTTAACCAAACTCAAACCCACATCTCCTTTTCGACTAGAAAACGCTGCACGTCTCTGAGTCGAGAAAGAGACAACAGCCGTGTACCTCAAAGCCCGTCAAACTCTACCTTTGGGTAGAATATTTATCATTCGGTGCACGAGGACTAGCTGAACCGACCATCAAACTTGCTTGTGCAAGGAATTTATACAGTAATATCTGCTCTTTCGCTTGTGGGACGCGAAATGATATACTACGCATGCTCAACCACATTAAAGCGTGTTTAATGCGCATGTTCAACCTTATTTCGTCCCACAACCTCCCAAGGACAATAGAAAATGGTCGGTCTTTCATTGAAATTCAAGCCTCGGTGCTGCACGCCTCGGTCTTGAATTTCAATGAAAGACCTCCCATTTGGTTTTTATCCTGCAAATAAAACCCTGTTGAGAACAACGTGAGAATCTCTGCTTCGACAAACCCGTACAAATCTTCGTTAGCTCTTCTCGGTTGTATGAGCTATTTCAAACATATTTCATCGTAATTGTGGTTGGTGAACGAATATTTAATCACTTCTTATTGATAGTATACAGTAGTGCGACACGAGAATTGATGCATATCAAAATAGCCCTGTTTGTTTTTATTACAACCATGGTAATTCAAACTCATTTAAAGAACAATACATATCATAAAGTAAATTTCATTGTGCGTCAATCCTTACAAATATGAACTAAGTAAGAGTTAGATACCTCAAACGTCGGCTCTTAGTCAGATAAATCCCTCGGGGCCTACGGCCCCTCGGGTTTGTATCTGACTAAGAGCCTCCGTTTTCGGTATCTAACTCTTACAGAGAATTATGCTACTGCTGAGGAAGCCAATCAGAAGTATCGAATGCTCAAAAGGCCATTTATATTCAATACTGAAATTTTACTAATCAGTGTTACTTATGAGTGAATTGGCTTGAAAAGTGAGAGTTCTTTCATCATACGATTGAAAATGAGAATTCCAATTTTATTCTTCTGAGTCGTTTATTTTATATTAATTAATTAACCTATAATTGTACATAATCCTAATATATAATGATAATTGTACTTCTGGAGATAAAGGCACCTAATTAACCAATACATACAGTATGCTAGAAATCATGGTGACAATGACAGAGTAAACATAGTATGTTTCTGTTTGCAAAAATTATTTCTTAATTTCCTCCTCGAGGTCTGATTGGAGCCGAATGTTTGTTAAATTTGAGACAAGTGGTACGATGTTTACTTTCTTGCGTGCAAAAATACTGACGCAAGTCTGAAAGAGTATTAGTATTGCTAAATCATCTAAAATTAGGGTTAAAGACTGGCCAAATAAAGATTTGATTATCCTGTTTTCAAGTATGGACATCAGATGCGTTGTCAAAATTTTAATGCTAGTTAATTTGATGAACTTATTAATGTTTGATGTTGGCGCAAGCATTGGTGGTAAGTACTAAAGGCTTCGCCAAATTCAACAATAACATAAACAAATGTAAAATTGAATTGATTCCGTGTGCATGTATAGCCATCTTTATACCAGCCGTATATTCAAATTCATCCCAATCTTAAACATATCAGTATTAAGACTGTTTAAATCTAATCAATAAAATAAAATAAAATAAAATAAAATAAAAGTGATTTGAATAATTTGCGCGACCGCATGTACACTGCATGGTATTTCCGTACCGCGCGTGAGTGGTATCAGCAAGAAAAATAGAAAATTTAAGTCCTGATGAAACGAGGATAACTGAGACTTTTGACGAGAATTGATGAGAGTAATTTCAACTCTCGCTCGCGTTTGACCGCCAACTCTCATCGACTCTCGTGCGCTCTAGAGCATCAACTCTCACTGAACTCTGAGCGGGTCCAAATTTTGATGAGAATTGTTGAAAGTTTTCGCTATACGCCCGTGGTAGTATCCAGTCAACTCTCGTCAACTCTCATGTAACTCTTGTTCTCGTTTAACCAGGGCTCTAATGCAAACTCTCGCTTCCCAGCTCTCCGATCAACTGTCCTGAGTGACGGGAGCTTTTAATAGTCCGAATATTCTATGCCGCAACCTTCTGCCGGACTTACGCGCTGTACAGTCATAATGAACGTGGACTAATCCATGACTGTAATCTGTAGACATACTAATGTACTGCAGGGTCGTCTCTCTGAAGTTATATAAAATACACGAAAAGATATCACTCAGCCTCATGAGAATTATTGTCGTTAATGAAGTTAGCTTTAATGAAGAAGTCAGAACGGTCGGATGAAAGGCTTGAAACGTTGAACTTCGTTTTTCAGGTTGTTTGGTTTTCATAAAAAAAGACATTCAGTATTCTAGCTCCGTTTGTCTGATCAACTTCCGAGTAAAAGGGCATTGTTTTCGTTTTTATACACTGGTAAACTATACTTAACTTAAATAAACATCATGTGGTACATGGTCAGGCAAATCTGAAAGACTGCATGCTTCTACTAGAATTATATGTATAGTACGTATATGGTGCTGAATGATTTGCGTAAAATGATCATGAATAGAAATTATAAAATTGTGGCAAGTTAACAATATTGAAAGAAGTTAAACATCTATCACGATGACTGGCCGGATTAGTTTATCCGATAAAATAATTAATTCACGTCCATTTTACGATCATTTGGGATCTTCATATATATATATATATATATGATATATCGAAAAGCTAGAATGATCAACCGTGTACATTGTTCAGTATCGATTCGGCCAGGGACGTAGCGTGCGGGGTGTGCATGGATGTAGTGTATACATATAGTTGTATCTCTCTCGCACCATACTATCTACGATAAACCACGTCTATATTTGTGAAGGGCCACGCCCATTTAATCGGTAAAATCGGAATGGTTCGCCGCCCCCCACTATAAAGGTCCAATGGCTTTTTAAAGAAAATCTACAGCTAGACCGTACGCGTATATCGGCGGGTTTCAGTAGGTCCTTGGTCAACTTCAGATACAGCTGGGCACTGGTTGACGCCAGTATCGTGAGCAAGCAAGCAAATTCATAGTTACATATACATCTCTTATTCCTCATGACTGTTTTCTAATGATTGACTAGTTGTAAGTTTACAAGTTGCGAGTCTGCATGCGAGCTTTTTGAGTTATAAATTAAATAAATCTGCGTCTGTACTCTGCTTTACATTACAATGACAATAAATCTCCGCTAATTTCCTCCGTCAAAGTATATACCAGCAAAATGAATCTAGCTTTTCATAGTTCGCATAAAGAAGATTCGATTCTGACAGCATGCATGGTACTGCCTAAAGGGGCAACCGCATGTCACTCAACATCGGCACTGCATGCATGCATGAAAATGTCTAAAGTATATTTATCATTCGTAATTACTGTGCTTATTCATCAAATGACGGTAAGGAATATCATTACATGTTCCCAAGATATGTACTTATTAGAAACAATATTTGATAACTCATGAATTTTTCAGAGTTGCCGCAACTGGCAATCTCAGTTGCAACTCCCCCAACTTTCAGACTAGAAAATAGACTGAAAGTGCATCATTTGCCACTAAATACAAAAGGGTTATCATTAGGTTAAATGGTCTTAAATGGGAACTGAGATTTATTGCCTTTTTTTGGACCTGGAAAGTGGGATTTACCGCACTTGGGACTTAACCTCCGGGAAAGGGATAAAAAATGGGATTTCCCTTCGATCTTGACTGGTCTCCGACCGGCTCTATTATTCGATACAACTGCTTAAAGTTCTTTGATAATCCTTTTTATAAATAAATAAAATAATTAATTATTAAATAGGAGACAAACACATCGAAATACATCTTTAATCTCGCTTGATCTCGCCTTCTTGCCGCGAACTAGGGTAGCCACTACGTTTTCATGCTCAGCGGTTTGTTGCGTGTCCACAGAATCAGAGGCCGCAGAAGCATTTCGAAGAGTCTTTACTACTGAAAAAGGGCTCCCTTTCTTTCCAGCAAAAGAGGGCGTTCATTCAAGAAATACCTTTTTGTTCTTTAAATGGGGCACTTTAGCCCAGAAAAAGGGCCCTTTTTCACTTTTAAAAAAAGTGTGGGGGGGGGGCACATGCTCCCAATGTCACCCCCCGTTCCCAGGGCCGCCAAGAGGGGGGTAGGGGGGGCAAACTGCCCCGGGCCCCGAGTTGCTGGGGGCCCCTGAAAAATTTTTGTTGGGCCCCAGCCTTTTTTGTGTGTTAAATATTTCCGCGCAAAGGACAAGATATCTGTTTTCTTGGGCTAAGTAACGAATTTTGGCATAAAAAATGAGATAAAGTCCCTCGAAAGCAATTGCAACGTACTCGTCCGGAAAAATTTTGTACTCCGGAAAAAAATTTCCCCCCTAAAATGGTACACTGACCGAAAATTTTTTGGCGACGTGGGGGGGAGGGGGGGAATTGTTGTCCGGGAAAAAATTTTTCCGGGAAAAAATTTTTAGATAGGGGCCCCTAAAAAAAATTTGCCCCGGGCCCCCGCCAACCTCTCGGCGGCCCTGCCCGTTCTGCGGCTCCTGCACGGAATTGTCTATCGATGGAATTTCAGATTTCGTAAGGAGTTGGACGGAAATTAGGCTGGGAACTCATGGGATTTAGACCAAAATAAGGCACCAAATACAATAACATCTGCTGACGATAGTCTGTGATGAAACTGAATTGATTGAACTTACTTATATGTAGATACGTCAAATTCAACAAAACCAAGTCTGGATGATGATGCAAAATCTACACATTCAACACCTCCTAAGAAAGGTGAGTAGCTGCAGGGCCTTTTTTAACATACAAGGGGGGGGGGGGGAATGCCCCCCCCAAGTCCCCCCTTCTCACGAAATCATATTTTGCCCCCCCCCCCAGGAAAAGTCCCTTTTCCCTAAATTTATACAGACAAACCAGCGAAGAATAACAAATACATAAGCGGAAAGTAAGTTTTAGGCTTTATCCTTAGTCTTTGTTTAACAAAATCGATTTAAATTGTACGTTTTTCTACCACTAAGTAATGATAAATTATTGTAACTAATAATTATTATATTTTTGGTGCGTTTCTTCCTTCTTTTATTTCAAATACAAGTATAGTAGCATAGATTTTAGAGCAAATCAGGAATTTTCAGAATGCAGGAAATAGCATTTCCGGGTTTCAAATTTCAAACATTTTCTGGGGAGTATGCCCCACACAACGTGGCCTTTGGCCATTGCTATCCCCCTCTAATAAGTAATGATAAATTACAGTTAATATTTTTTTACTTTTTGTGCGTTTTTTCCTTCTTTTATTTCAAATACAAGTACAGTTAGCATAAATTTTGGAGCAATTTTGGATGCTCAGAATGCAGGAAATGGCATTTCCGGGTTTCAAATTTCAAAAATTTTCTCATACTCCCCCAGACCACCCCCCTATAAATGCGTGGTATCACTGGTATGTTGGCCACACACATGGCCTTCAGCCATTGCCTATCCCCCTCTAATATATAAGCTCACATAAAGGTTCCTTTTCAAAAAATCCCCCCCCCCCTCCCAGGAAAATCCTTAAAAAAGGCCCTGAGTAGCTGTTCATTATATACAAGAACAGAACGGAGTGTGCATATCACTATAAGTTCGGCCACCACTGTCCCACCAGAGACTGAAGTGACATCAATCTTATGACGTGCCATTTTGGGGAAAAAATCAGGTGCATTGACAGGGCAAAATTGAAACGAAGTATAGTTAAATATTTGCCATATCGCTCCATGTTGGACTGTTGGTTTAACTGAAATTATTGATTAAGTCATTATCATTATTAAAACAGGACTCTATTAATTTTCTTACTTTGGTGTAGGCCCTCCTTCAGCAATGGGGCCATGTTAGGGGACTCTTACAAATATATGTAGCACAGACTGTTATAGGGGCCGTTGATCAAAAGAATTTGGCCTGCTTTTTTTCACCATTAAATTAAGAATTTTCAAGCTCCGGGATGTAAGATGGCAATTTTAATTTAATTTAATTTATATAACAATTTTAATAACAATTATAATTTAATTCAATATCTTTAATTCACGCAGGCACAACTTGGATAAAACACTATTACATTCGTGTTTTTATAATAAATCTTTCGAGCGAAGAAGCACTACTGTTCACGAATTTTACTGGAGTGAAAATAACCACTCGTCTTTTGACTTACAAGACTTACATCTTTAATAAAACATTGTCTCATCCTGCGATTTACTGTATATGGGCGACAGATAGCAATAGTAAGAAATTGTTGGTCTCGGGTAAAGTGCAAAGTTTGTACATCAGAACGTCTGCAACAAAAAGTGTATCACATTTATTTATCATCACACAACGTAAGTATCGTATTAAAATAGTGTTCCAATAAAATAGTATCAAAAGTTTTTATTTTTTATTTATTTGATTTTGCCCAATAATAAATTGCTTCGTGTAACAAGTTGCGGAGATGTACAATCCTTAGTGCGTTAACAGGCCGAAACGAGAACTATATAGAGCTGTTTCGAGTTTGGAACTTAAGTGACGTAATCATGGTAACCTCTAAAACGAACACCTATCTGATATTGCCCCTTCTGCTGCTGTAGAGAGAACTGTAATTGTATCATCATTTTTTAGTTCCAAAGACTACGGTACAAACTGAAACAATTACCGCAACCACCACAACTACAGGTTTGTATAACGTTTTGAAATGATCAATTTGATTTCATTTTCAATCAACCAATCCAGACTGCTATAATATACCCTTTTTCACCCTTGGAGCATCGTAGTCAGGAATCAAGACGAAAAGAAATTTCTCGCGATTCATGAGAATGATGAGAGATTTGTGACGTAACTATTTCGAAAGGGCATGTATTCATCATCGTCGTCAATTTCGCATGTCCAGACAACCAGAGCCAATGATTTCCTTTGGGTCCGAGATTTGTATTATCCGTATCATCATTGTGAGACTGTAAGGCTATTATTTAGAATGCCTGACAATTCAGGTGTAGGTTCAATCACTTAGATTTTTCTTTTCTATTGTTGTGTTATGGCATGACATGCACACCAACTCATGCAGTATTGACTCTTGTCTCTTCCAAGATACTGTACTTGATTTTTACTGTAGCTTTTTTCTGCTTTCACCTGAGTGCATCCACATTTAGGGCCAAGGGAAACGTTTTATTTGGTCCACAAAATGTGGCAAACTGGAACATCAGGAAACATGCGACTGCATGTATATTATTATACCACAGTGTATACGGTATATTTACTTTGTTATTGTTATAATACTGTAGTTTGACATAATACTAATTCTGAGTACTTATTTATTTTAAAATCTCACTTGTTATAATATTAATCATTTGATATTAGTAATGATTAATATAATTATTATAACATTATAGTGATCGGGTTTCGCATGCATGCATGTATACTACTGAAGACAATTTTGGTAAAAAAGTCACTCCTATAAGATTCATCGTATAGCATTTTAACTTCAGTTCTTTCTAGAGCATCTTCATCGTTTTTCTTCACTGCCCAAGTTCCTTTCCCTATATACATCATCATTCATCACTGATCTATCACTGTTTTATACATTTTTAACTGAGCTTTCTGTTACACGTTCAGTGCATTGCCTCGCGCCATAATTAAGTTTCAAATTTGCATGCGCGGGAGAGAAGAGTAATTTATTGTTTTACTCTGACTGTCGTGCTCATCTACATGCATAAACTACACACGCAGATGATTTTTTTTAGTTCGATCAACTACAGAGACTTCAACAGAATTCGCTACGATGAAAAACGAAACTTCAGGTACGTAACACAATAACGATATTCAAACATTGGAAAGAATTGAACAATCACGGCACCTCTTGCATGGCAAATTACTATGACACGGCGCTTAACACTACGGATAATGCAAGTTTCAATTTTCTATTTGCTATAGTAAAACAAAATTTTGCCTGGAACCTTTTCAGCAATGCTTGTAGTTAATTTAGAGAAAGTAATAAAAGATTGAAACAAAGAATTTAAATTCAACTGAAGAATCCAACTCATTCATCACGAGAACCGCTCTCTTTTGCCCTCCATAATTCTGCAAAATTTTGGCGAACGTTTGTGCTCGGCTTCATTTTTAAGTTTAATATGTAATTTTGATTGCCTTTAAATAAATAACCCTTTTTCTTCAGAACATAGCAGTGAAGCAGGTTATAGTACCACCTCAATCAAACCTCCAAACGCGTATAAACATGATGAACATGAACACAAACTGACGTTTTATATCTCTGTTGGTTTTGGGTCAGCTTTCGGAGTGCTGCTCTTCTCCCTGATTATTCTTCTGGCCAGACGGTGAGTATAAAATTATTGTGCCAAAGCTTAAAATCGTCAACTCAATGCACAAAGTATGAATTAAGTTAATTAAAGATGATGTATATAAAACTTTTGTTATAAAATTACAATAGTCCTTTAATTCCTTTTAAGGCTCATTTATATACTTGCCAGTCTAGTGCTATATTCTTGTTCTATAATGGATGTCAACGAGTATTTAATTTATGAATGTTCTTAAATGGGGGGAGGGGCCTTAACTTCTTATGTATGTACCCTCATCTGAACATTTTACCATTCATACTATAACGTCTTCACCTTCGGCTTCACGTTCCCTTTGTTAAATAAACAGATCTATACGTAAGAAAAAAGAGGGCAAGAAAAGAGCGGTTTACTGGGCTAAAATAAACAGAACTTGTCAGAGGTAAGAAGTCAAGTCGATAGCATAGAATGATAAATTATGATTTACTGCTATACTAATTTGGTGAAAGAACTCCATATAGTATATGCGCTGTCATTTCATGCAACATGCATGTTTAGTTTTATATGCAAGTAAAAAGATTTACCTTTCTACGTCTAGTCAATACATACCTAACGAAGAGGTCTCCACAAATAATCCTATGTACGAGGGGTAAGTAAAAGATATATGAGAAATGAGAAGGGAGCTAGGAGGTGATAAATTATACCGTCATGAGCTGATAAAAATATTCATTGCGGTTATGCTCGAAAACTAACTTCAATGTTTGACATGCAGGTTTCAATCTCATTCAAATCACGAAATCTTCGATTTAGTGTCGGCCGCTGGGTAAACACCCCTTAATTTAGAATCACCAAAAACATTCCACTCAAGGTTGCTAATAGCTTATAATTAATTTTTACAACAGATGGAACAGCGAAATACATGTAATTCGTTCCGGTTGTGTTTCATCTGATCTGCATGCCAAGTATTTTTTATAACTATAGCCTCGCGTCGATTGGGTGCAGGGCCGTACGCAGGATTTTTCATCGGGGGGGGGGGGGGGGCAGTAAGGCCTATATGCCGAAAAAAGTCCCGAATATCCAAAGAATAATTAGCAATAAATATATCGTAAATATAGTAAGGTTTTCTCTACGGGGGCAGTTGTCCCCCCCCCTCCCGCTGTGTACCGCCCTGATTGGGTGAGCCAGTTGGAACCTAACATACTCGTTATATACAAAGTTTGAAGTTTAAAGAACACAGACATACAATTTATCTGCGATCGTCATGCTCATCCTTAAGATATGGATGCATACAACCGAAACTACTAATTTAATTATACCAATTACTATATAACTTGGCGATTATGTTTCTATAGATCCCGCTCGAGAACAACGAGCAATGTTCTGTATGGTGTCCCTGAACAAGCAGAAGATATCAGATCTGAATTTCCTCGTAAAAATGACTACATTGTAACTCCTCTGCAACAATCACCAAAACCAGATCTTGTGGTTAGCAATGCCTGCGCTCTATATCAAAATGCTGATGAGCTCTACAGTGAACCAAAGAAAGTGCCTGGAAGTGTCGGAAATGGCAACTATGAACGTATAACAAGCTGTATTCTGAAGAAAAATAGTGAAGCAAGAGAGAGTACAGGATCTTACGCTGAACCATGCGTTATCTTCAATGGAATTTTTATTTCAGAGAATACTGGCTATGTTTCTGTTGAACACAAGAGCAACTGAGTAATTAGGAACATCAATTCTATTCCTTTGTCCACTTAAAAATATAGTTTTTCATAGCACCACATTGAACAAAATTGCATGGGATTATTAATGGGTATTTAAGGCTATTTGGCGTTGCGTTTGTCTATTTTTATAATAAATTCTTTCTTTTTTGGTGACTTGAAAGAAATCTCATAACTGCGAGTTTTCTCAGTACATTATCACGTTATTATCGATTTATCACTGTAATGTCTGATCGATTTATCGGAATTCAAAGAACAAATCTAAACAATCAATTTTGTACTGCATTAATTTTTGTTTATAATATATAAACAAATCTTGACCAAGATAGAAATATTGGGGGATATATATTAAATATGTTGGTTTACAGGCCTTTACAAGAAACAACAACGAAAAATTTCTGCACGATTGATGCCCCTATTATTACCAATGATTGTTATAATCTCTATTGCCATTACATGAACATCATTTCGGTGAAAAACCTCTATAGGACCATGTTACACGAGGCAATTTTGGCTGCAACTAGCAATAATTTCGGATATTCAGAGTGATGTTATCTAAAAAGTAGTTGTAGGAAAATTCAGAGCATTGTTCGCATTCTACTGTGCCGACACTTTCTTCGCATCGCGTATTCGTATATTTATTTATTTATTTATTTATTAGTTTCGCCATATTACAATACACAAAACTATAACAGGAGCAAGAATGGTATACATGGCTATAGGCAGGGTGACCGCAACAACGTGAGCCAATTACTACGGGTCCGACTGATTAGGACATACAAACATAAAAAACTATCTAAATAAAATATAACTAATAGAAGCAGAGTTCGAGCGGTATTACACTTGGTACATATAGTTTTGAATGTTCTTGGATTTTCAGGATCGTAGGAAATTTCCAAAGCACGGAAGTAGTAACTTAGAATAGTAGATTTAAATGAGTTCAAATTTATCATGTTAAGTTTCAGTTCGTCCGCTAGGCTGTTCCACACCCTGGTTGTTCGAATTAGAAACGAGCGTTGATGCGTCGTTGTTTTGCGCCTGGGAATGACAAACTTAGGTATGTCCGTGTTTATAGACGATCTGGTCGGTCTGGAGCTTCGGGTTTTTGGTACTACAGAAGGTTCTATTATTACCAGATTGTTCACCATTTTAAAGAAAAAAACCAAATCCAAAAACTCATGCCAGTAACATAATGGAAGTAAAGATAAAGACTGTAATCGCCAGGTATAACTGTCTGGACTGGAAAACGGCAGATTGAGAATAAATTTCGTGGCACGCCTTTGAACTTTTTCCAATCTTGCAATTAGGTTGATGGACTGTGGCGACCAGATCTGGGTGGCATATCCTAGGGTGAGGGCGTACTAATGTTAAATACAATGCCCTCCTTACGCTGGTGTTTTGGATGAACCGTGCGTTCCGTCTGATATAACCTAGCAACTTGTTAGCACGGGAAGATTGTTCTACTACTTGATTATTCCAGGTGAGATCAGTTGACATCCAGACGTCAAGATCTCGTTCCGATTTTGTCATTTCTAGAGTTTCACCCTTCATCTTGTATGTAGTCACCACTGGCTTCGTTTTACGAGTGATAGACAGCGACCGACATTTACTTTCATTGAAGGGGAGACCGGAAGTCGAAGACCAGGATTCTAAGTTGGATAAGTCCTGTATATACATGGGATGAAAAATGAAAGAAATGAAAACAAAATTTTCGGTATAGAGTAAACTAGCTGTTACTTGTTAGCCTTGTTCACGATAGAGAGCTCTAATTTTATTATACACGAGTAGAAGTAGATTAGAGATTTCACATTGTTTGCATGTGATCTTCATCATTTTACGTCATTACGAGATGCTTGTTTCACTACGACTGTTTCACAGTTTAAGCCGACCAAACATATTGCAAAAGCATATAATTTGAAACTAAAAACAACAGATTTTAAGAGATAAGAGGCGCGCGTATCATTGCAAACCGTGGAAATGCATTAGCGATATGCCACTCAATGTCAAAGATAAAGTAGTGGTAATTTATGGCTTTCACATTTTCGCACTTTTGGTGACAAAAATGGTGGTTTTGTTTAGCAGGGAAGGTACTTCCCTCCTTTTTCATTTTGTACCACGTTTTACCCAAGTCAAGTTGCTAGTGCTTCAGTAGACGTTTCCTGAGTATGACAAGTGTAAGTTGATTATTATTACATGGCCCACAGTCTTATATTCATTTTCATCCTTATTTCATATTCATCAACATTGCTCTTTGCCATTGGCGCAGATTTTATGCTTGGAAAGAGCTAAGTAAAAGTACATAGCTATAGGCGTACGAGACAGGGATATGGAGCAATTGATCACTGAATGCAGGCAAAACAATAAGACCATATTTAATATGTAGACTGAGTAGGTATCTTTTTCAATAACAAGCCAGTTTTAATAATAGTTGTTTTATGTGATTTACTTTTACATAGTCATACAGAATACGGGGCTGATGCTTTCGGGGGGGGGGGGGGGGGGGGGGGGA